GGGGGAAGTTGGCACGCTTAGAATGGTCCCTCTTGAGGAGATACGTCGGGGATATGAGATCCTTACGAGGCTCCCAAAGCGCCGTAAAGAATTTGTAGACATGCAATACAATAAGTTAAAAGAGAATGGGGGAATTCAACTTGCATTGAACTTACAGAGAGAATACATGGATGAGCTTCGTGGACGAATTGAACTCGCTGTTGCCCTGCAGGATGGCAGAGTGGCCATTGATGCTATCGAAACGCTTTTTACCGTTTACGAAATTACACAACGTCTTGGTTGTGAGGAAGAAATTGAAAGGGTTCGTGCGGACCTGACCCGTGACGTCTGTACGGCCATTTCCGCCTTTTGTTCAAGCTATGACTTCACGGCAGGGTGCACTCTGTACGAAAAGCTCATTGCCATGATGCCATGGTCAAAACACCCCGCTTTCACTGCTACGGATTCCAGCAGTGCCCACCACGAAATTAAAAGCGACAGGCATGAGGCGACTGCCATGGAGATTGCTGAGAGACTGCGCCTCCTTACCGCTCTCGCGAATTGTGTGGGCATGGACGTTGCGCATTTCATCTATGTGCGGGACGCCGTAGTCGAGCTTTTTTCCAATACAGATGTGGGGTACTTGCCTGCTACACGGAAAATCTCACAGGAGAACCTTTGTGCCGTTCTTCGTGCATTGTCGCGTGTCACACTTGATCCACAGGCGAGGATGAGTGCAAGCCAGTCATTTTTTTGCGCCATACAACAAAACTCACAGGCGGATGTCTTTCTTGCGCCCGAAGTCACAGAGGCGCTGCTACAAGTGGCCAGTGCGGCACGGGATGGAAATGTGGCGTTGCTCCTTTACAACCAGTTGACGGCACCCAGAGTTCATCGTGAGGATGCTCCGGCAAATATCATTGCCATTCTTTTAGCCGAGAATGACGCGCTGGACGATTTCACACGATTTTTGAGTTTTGTGGGCCTGCGCCGGCGGGTTATGGCTTCCTCTGCGGTGCAATTACTTGCGGCGAAACTTCTGCTTCAGCGTAAACCTTCCAATGTTTTGTACACCGTTTTGGAAATGATTGAGGAGAAGCACGAGGTGGAACCGCAGCGAACTTTTTTTCTTCGCCTCCTTGTGTTTTACCGTGACCTGCAGCGACAGACGCCTATGGAAGGGTCTTCTGTGGCTATTCCGCGCTTGCATGAACATGCACTAGTAATTCTTGAGGAATGGCGAGAGACGTTGCGTCGCTCCGGTGTGAGGACTGTTGCCCTCACTACACTTCAACTTCTTCAACAAATCCGCCAGCATCTTGTGGGTATGGTGGCATTGCGAGAGGACGCATCGGAGGGGGGGATGGAGGCGGTGTCATCAATATTGACTTGCATTGAGGGGATGTTGTTGGATTTTTCGCTGGGTTGGCTGAATCACTGCGCTGCGGCTTCCCGCACGCCGCAGTATCATGTCACGGGTGCGGAGCTGCGTCGTTGGGGATTTGGGAAGACGAATGAAACCAACGACACGTGTCGCTCCGGCGTCGTTGTAAAGACACTAAGCCATGCCGTGATGTGGCCAGGGACCATCGCGACACTTCCTGTTGAGGGGCGCCGGGTGTTGCTACGAAAGGCGTATGATGTCTTGTACTCTGCAACAAAAGCGGGGGG